TTCCTGGCCCGGACGCAGTCAGCCTGGACCCTCTGCCCTCGGCACCCAGGGCAGCCTGGGTCCCCGCAGGTGGGTGCATCGCTGGGGAGCACGATGCTGCTGCAGCAGTTGCCTAGCAACAGACGCTCACACTGGCAGCAGATGTCACTCTGTTCTTGGTACCCCCTACCCCAGCCCTGCTCCCACTGCTTCAGGGGGCCAGCTGGTACACCTGATGCTGACCAATGGTTCTAAACACAAATGAGAATCGGTTTCCCAGACCAGACTAGGAAAAGGTCAGATGATTGGGCGAAAAAAAATTTTTAAGGTGTGTTGAGTTCCTACTTGAAAATAGGCTAGGATTGGCTTTGCATTTTTCATAAGAAATGGCTCATCACTGTGTAAGGAAAGTGCTTTTGTGTTTTAGACTGTCGGCATGTGTTGTGGTACACATGGCAGGTCATAGCGCAAATGCTGCAGCCAGACTAAAAGGTTCTGTGTCCCAGATACTCTTCTTAGCCTCTCAGCCTCTGTAGAATGATGAAGACAACAGTTCCTCCCTTTTAGGGCGAATACCAAGTAAATTGTTCCACGGAAAAGATTTAGCCTGTGCCAGCAATCACTCCATAACTAGAAGCAGTTTTACAGTACACACATTATCATTATATTATTAATATATTAACTTCCTGGGTATATTATGGTATCTTTTTCATCACATCTGTTTACATAATCCCTCTTAAATCTCAAATATTGGATTTATCTTTAACCCTGATTGCTAAATCTGAACAAGTGGAAATCTTTTACTATATTTTTTGGGTAACTAGTTATCAGACTGCCTTAAAAATGTGGCTTCTAGGTTCTAACTTAATTCTCCCTTTATAAGTGTTCAGGGGATTTATTTTGTCCCCTGCTCTCCAACAATTTATAGAAATCTTGACATTAAAAAAAGTTGGCAAATTCTTGTAAATATCTCACTACTCTATGCTTTTTAAAAATACATCTTCTGGCTGGGTGCAGTGGTTTACATTTATAATCCCAGCACTTTGGAAGGCCAAGGCAGTTGGATCACTTGAGGTCATGAGTTCAAGACCAGCCTTGCCAACATGATAAAACCCTGTCTCTACTAAAAATACAAAAAATTAGCCTGGTGTGGTGGCAGGTGCCTATAATCCCAGCTACTTGGTAGGCCAAGGCATAAGAATCACTTGAACCTGGGAGGCAGAAGTTGCAGTGAGCCGAGATCGCATCATCACACTCCAGCCTGGGCAACAGAGCCAGACTCCATCTCAAAAAAAACAAAACAAAAAATATTTTCTTACCTTCTGGCTGCCCCACTAGCCATAGCGCATGCTGGGTTGATATTGCTATGTGTGAATATATGTGTTTGCACACTCACAAGATGTGAGGTGTGGAAACTGCTAAACAGTCTCCTTCCACAAAACTTGAACTTTTGACCTAGCTCAGAATGGAGTCTGACACTGTATGTTTGCTTCTGCCTATGTCTAGAAAAGTAATTCATTGCTTTTTAAAATTTTATTTTTATTTTCAATAAGAATATTAATTTAAAACTACTAGACTGAACAAATATTTTATGAATTTAACCTGTGGTCATGTAATTCCTTTGATGAGAATTCACATTTTGAGCTGGACTTATCTTTGGCTTTCATGACTTCATTCATTCCCTTGACAAATATTCCCAGAGCTTTTCCTCTGGGTCAGGTACTGAATCAGGTATAGGTGTGGCAGGTACAAAGACAGGCTCAGCCTTGGCCCTCAACAGGTCCACAGGCTAGTGGAATTTTGAGGGCACAGTTAACAAACCATTGCGATGCAAGTTGATGGGTGAGACCAGTGGAGACTCTGGTGCTCCCTCCGAGCATGAGAAGGCATGCCTAACCCCCAGTGAGGGAGGCATGAGGCCTAGCTTGAGGCTGGAAGGTTAACTAGGGGTTAGGCCAGAAAAGAGAGTCCCCAGGTATTCCCAAGACACAAGCAGCACATTTAGGACCAGCCTGTTCAGGAACTGAGAGTGTTAGGAGGGATGTGGTGAGCCCTAAGAAGGGGAGAGTTTATACCAACCCCACCAGAAGGACCAGGCCCGGCGTTTGTAGATGATGGGGGCAGTGATGTGGCTGGATTTATATTATCGCAGTGGCAGCATTGTGCAAGGTGCACTGAAATGAGACAGGAGGCAGTGAAACTGTCCGGAGGCCTCTGAAATCCAGCTCTGAATTAGTCATCTAAGACCACAGCAGTGGCAGATGCTGCAGAAAGAACAGGACAGATACTCAGGAAACAGACCCAAGGGGATGCAGTAACTGTTGAGATTTGCAAGAAAATAAGTCTGGCGTGACTCCCACCGTTCTGGTTTGGAAAATTAGGGGCTCTTATTCCAGAGAAAGAGGGAGAGAGGGGCAGGTAGAAAGTGTGAGGGTGGCACGGGGCACGCACGAGCTCAGTCCTTGGCAAGGTGAATTCCAGACACCTGCGGCACGCTGGGGATGGCGTGTCTGGGGGCGTGGTCAGCAGGATGGGCCGGGCTGGGGATCCATGGCCAGCGAGGTGAGAGCTGAGTGGGCAGAGTATGGCGCACGCAGTCAACCCGCCAGGAACATGTGTGTGGGTTGAGAGGCTGTGCTGTGGGGAGGGCTCTTCGGCCCCCTGGGTGGAGGAACACTGATGCACCCGCCAGAAGGACAGCCTGAAACCCAATGCAGTCTTCAGGAGGGGTCAGAACAGGTGCCACAGAGAGGCAAAGCAAATAAAGACCATAGCTCCTGGATGAGGCTTAGCCCCTGGCAGGCCCTAGATGACCTGATGAGAGTATTTTCCCTACGGGGTGAAGGCCGAAGCCAGGCTGCCAGGGGCTGAGATGAGAGCAGCTGAGGGGAATACAGGCGGATACAGAAGACCTTTCTGACTCTTGGCTGCGGTGGGCAGGAAGAAAACTGGTGGAACTAACAGGGGGCGTGAGATGGACGGTGTTGTGGTGTTCAAGTGACACGGAGTTGAATGTGTTTTCTTGTTTGAGGGAAACCAGCCAGTAGCCGGAGAGGCTGAAGCAAAAGTGGAGAGGGGAAGGTGCGCGGGGTGAGGGGCACAGGTCCGCAGGGCAGCGGCGGGCCTGAGGGTTGAGGAGGCGGCGCCTGAGGGGCGGGGCGGGCGGGGGTCTGTTCTCATGAAGGAGAAGGCCAGCTTGACGGTGAAGAAGACAGTGTAGGTTTCTTGGAAAATGGAGGGACTCGACGACAGGGCTGAGCAAAGGCACGTAAAAGACGGAACGGCAGCGCTAAGCCCGAGACTGTCAACTGGGAGCAGCCATACATGGGAACAGTGACCTCTGCACGCCCACGGCTGGCATCCACGACTACAGCCCGGTCCCCTCTTCTGTCCTCCTTCCCCCAAGTCCAGCACTGCAAACACCACGCTGCCGGCTGCGGCCCTATTGGAGGGGTCTCAGTAACGGAGGGCAGGTGCCAGTCTCGCGCCCTAGTTCCTTCCTCTGCTACAACGCCAAGTCAAGTTCGAGGCCACAGTGCCTTTTGAAAAAGTGGTAGCGCAGTTCGGGAGCATTGCACAGGAGAAACGGGGGCTGGAGGTAAAGACAGGAGGCTCGGGAGGCGGCGGCGTGGGCGAGCTGGAATAGTCTAGAAGCTGAGCGGAACAAAGGCGGTGTGACTGGTGAGCCTCGGAGGGATCCTCCTCCCTGCTAGAATATGCATGATCTTGCGCGAGTCCTCGCCCGCCAGGAGCAGGGACGCGTCCGAGCCTACACTGGGCCCGCTCCCAGACACACTCTCCTGGCTCGGGGTGCAAGAGAGCCACGCGGCCGCAGCGCGGTGGAGGGGCTGCGGGCCCCGAACCCAGGTCGGCCAGCGTGTAAGCGCCCCTGCCGGCCGAGCTCCGTGGGGGGATCAGCTCCCTGACCCCTCCAGCGCGAGTAGTTCCTCTCCAAGAAATTCCGGACCAGCGGCCCGGCCGCCCCCAGAGCCAGCCTCCCTTTCCCTTCCCCAATCCCGGTGCCTGGACCAGGGAGGGGGCGCACGTTCGACGGCTGAGGCATAGCGGGGCGCGAGCTGGCCCAGCAGGTGCCCATCGTCACCCTGTGGGACCTCGGCGGTGAGCTCCGTCCTCCACGCCAGGCTCGGTCACCACCCCGGCGGGGACCCGACACCCAGCCGAGCGCGCCGCCCCCTCGGGGACCCGCTGGGCGGGGCTGAGCGAGGCTGGGAGTGCGGGCGCGGGGACGCAGGGAGAACCCAGGGCTCAGCGTCACCTCGGCTGTCTCCAGCAGAGCCCGGCACCCTCGCCCCCCGTCTCCGTTCATTATGCTGTATTCATCCAGCAGTTTAAAACAATTCTCTTTTTAAAAGGCATTTTACTCCGCGCGTCTTCCTTACAGCCATTTAGTTGGGAGTTAGCGGTGGGCAGGCGGCGGGGAGAAGAAACGCCTGCTCTGAATCGGAAAACACCAAGAGACCAGACCATCTCTTTCAGCAGCAGGGAAGAGAGGAGCCGTCTCAGGAGCCGCACAGGTCTCCAACCCTCTATTATTTTTTTTGCGCACATTCCTAACTGCCTGACGTCCATCCCAGCGGGCAGGCATGGGGTGTTTGGGCAACAGCAAGACGACAGAAGACCAGGGCGTCGATGAAAAAGAACGACGCGAGGCCAACAAAAAGATTGAGAAGCAGTTGCAGAAAGAGCGCCTGGCTTACAAGGCTACCCACCGCCTTCTGCTCCTGGGTAAGGCCGAGGGGCACGTGGCGGCTCCCGGCCCCAGCGGAGCACTCAGCCAGGAGCGGCGAGCTCCGGGAGGGGAGGAGGAGGGGAAGGCTGGGCAGGGCCGGGCGGGGGTCGTGCGCTCCACCGAGCTGCACAGCCCGGACGGCGACCCGGGCGAGCTCCTCCAGCCAGGAACCCGCGTGTAGGAAATCCCCGTGCTGGGCGAGGAGGATTGCAGTGAGAGACGGCAGCGATATCCGGACACAGATCACAGCATTCTTTCTGTTTGTTTGCAGGGGCTGGTGAGTCTGGGAAAAGCACGATCGTCAAACAGATGAGGATCCTGCACGTCAATGGGTTTAATCCCGAGTAAGAATGATCAATTTCGGTTTTGCTTCCAAACTACATGCAAACTATGTCTCTCTCCCAGACGTCCCAGAAGTGCTTTCTCTAAACAGTTCATTTGATAATTGAGTAGACATTCAAGGGGGGAAAAATTAGATATTTGATGTTGGATTTGGTATATTTAGGCAAATCCTTCTTCTGCTAGTATCTAGTTAAAAAAAAAAAAAACTTGCTTAACACAGTATGATTTATAGGTATTATTGGAGTGTTGATCTGTATGACTGGTATTGCTCTGAGCACACAACCAATATCTCAATATATTTTTCAATATAATATTATTTGTTTGCATCTTTCAGTTTATAACTATTAACATATTATCCATAGGACAGACCTAGGTAAAATACATTTACAAGTGTAACTGCGGCGTTATATTTATATGCAGTATCTATAGTGATTTTGCCATGTTTTTCTGTAACCTGCATGGTTGTTTAAAGCTATAGATTTAAAACTGTGTGCATTCAAGTTTGTTGAGAGTACAAATTAGAAAAGGGGGTTGCTTTCCTTTCCCAGATAAAATCTTTGCAGATGTTGTTCTGGAGGTTGATACTGACCTCTAGTGAAACCAGTCTAGGTCAGTGCTGTAGCTGGAAATTTAAAATCCCACTCAATTGATTAGAATCAGTGCTAAGGGTAAATTAAGCTAATAACAATTCTCTTTCAATACAGGGAAAAGAAGCAGAAAATTCTGGACATCCGGAAAAATGTTAAAGATGCTATCGTAGTAAGTCGTTTTTAAAATGATTGTTTACTAGAAAGGTCAAGTGCACTTCATTCTAAAACTGTGTAGACAGAAATCACATATTGTAGATTATCATACGTGGAGCCTAAATGTTTATTTATATTTTTTTCTTATTTCATTCTAGACAATTGTTTCAGCGATGAGTACTATAATACCTCCAGTTCCGCTGGCCAACCCTGAAAACCAGTTTCGATCAGACTACATCAAGAGCATAGCCCCTATCACTGACTTTGAATATTCCCAGGTAAGAAATGCTTACTGAAGTATTTTAAATAGTGAAAGATGGAACCATTTTTAATAAGGTTGCTTAGTGAAAATCAATATTAATACTAATTCATTATTAACTTTCTTTGAAATTCAGCTCTCTAAACGCCTGAGAGAAATACTTATTCTGTGCCAAAATATTGTCTTTGTTAAAAATATTAATGACAATGGGATTGCAAGAAATGCTTTTATGAATGCATGGGGTCGGCTGATAATCAGGAAGACAGCATACCTTTAAGAAGTGTTGATGGTGCTTTTTTTCCTGTCTGTATTCTTAAATTAACAATTAAGCAGTTTCCCAAATAACACCAGTAGAGATTACATGAGTAGAGAAAAATATTTATAGTAGGTAATTGCCTCCATGGGAATTATAGAAAGAACAGAATTCAGTTTGCTTTTAAGATGCACAGGCTTCAGATCAATTGAGAAAAGAATGCATTGTATAAAAATGATAACATGAATCACTTCTGAATGTTTACTTTATCATGTTAAAATGCAGTTTGGTTCATATCTGCATTACTTAGGGCTGCTTTTCCTAATCATTTGGATGGCAGTATTGCTTATGCAAAAGAATGAGATCAATATTAGTTTTCTCTCATTTTCAGAATATACATTTCTTTAAAATATTTGGTCATTTTCATAAAGCATGTTTCAAAGGAAAAGTATTTGTTAAGTTTCTCAGAAAATCATTTTTGTGATAGTGCACCAGAAGAGCGTGTGTGTGTGTGTGTGTGTGTGTGTTCATCAATAACAGTATTTCAAAGTTGGTATTGCCTGGCATGGCAGTTTGGAGACATTTTTCATTCTTAGAATCCTCCCTTTGAAGGGAAGCTTGTGCAGAAACCAATGTGCAAAACAGAGAGGCCCTGCCCTGACTGCAAGTACACCTGCTCTCCCCACCCCTTCTCTACAGAGCACCATTGTCCTGTGGGCTCTCTATTGGGATGGCTAGTAAGAATCACTTTTTAAAAAGGCTTTTATTTTCATCTTTTAATATGATTTTTGCTCGTATAAGCATACCAGTGTAGAGCCAGTGATATCTGTAGAATTTTTACAATTAAGAAGTGAGAAGCAGCACACAGGCTTGAAGAAGGGGCTGGGCATCTGGCCCCGTATCTTTGACCTGATGGCTTGGAGAGAGCAAGAAGTTGATGTGATAGGGGGAGGGGTAAACAGAAGATGCTCCAGCTATACCAGGAGCCTCTGCTAACTGGAGCTGCAGGTGTCCTCCCAGTTCTCACTGATACTATGAACACTGGCAAAGTCACCCAGAACTACATGGTCCTGATTGAAATCAGGAGTGGTGTTCCCTTTCAACTTCAGATATAGACATTTGTAGAAAAGCATCTGAGTTCTCAGATTTATCCTATCATGTTTCCGTAAAAGTAATCATAAAACATCTTACATATTTAGGGGGAAATGCTATTCTTAACATCTAGTGAGGGGCCGGGCATGGTGGCTCATGCCTGTAATCCCCGCACTTTGGGAGGCCAAGGTGGGCAGATCACAATGTTAGGAGTTTGAGACCAGCCTGGCCAACATGGTGAAACCCTGTCTGTACTAAAAATACAAAAAATTAGCTGGACGTGGTGCCTATAATCCCAGCTACTCGGGAGACTGAGGCAGGAGAATCTCTTGAACCCAGGTGGCAGAGGTTGTAGTGAGCCAAGATCTTGCCACTGCACTCCAGCCTGGTGACACAGCAAGACTCCGCCTCAAAAAAAAATCTAGTGAGAAATCAAAATTAAGATTTATTAATCAGTCCCATATCTTCTTTCTCCTGTTCATGACAATCTCGGATGATGAGGCATCCTATACTCAACGCCAAATCCAGAAACAATTGGCAACTTCCACCTGTATTATCTAAGTAATCCAAAGCATCTAATTTGTGAAACTGTTTTTGGAACTAAATCATGAACATTAATTTTAAAAAGCTTGAGAAACCATTTGCTTTGAATGCATATATTTTCATATAGATAAATTAAGGTTACTTAAAAATGATTATCAGAAAGCATAATTATCATTAAAATAATATAATTACAATGCTCTTTCAGAGGTAATACTTTTAGGCAGGTTAGTTTTACTGGTGTTTTTTAAACCTAACAGTCTGTTGTCTTAAATGTCTATGCATATCTCAACTGAAAGTATATTATATATATATATTTGTATATATACTTTTATTTTTTAATATAGCCCAGACTTATATAAGGAAATTAATGTTAAATATGCAACATTCCTTCTGAAAATGCTATTTTCAATTTTAATATGCTCACAATTTTAGTGACATTTATTTCATATTGCTTGGAAATATTTATATTACTTATCTTGTTAAATTGTGTAGTTCTTGATTTCATATTTTGATGATCCTCATTCAGAATGATATCAAGACAAATCTCTGACTTATATGCTTCATTGGTACATTTGAAGAAAACTGATTTTTATTTAAAAGAATCTATGTTGTTTATAAACATACAAGTAGAGCTAAATCAAGTATTTTAATAGTAAACAAAACACTATTTTACTTAATCCAGTACTTTTTTGAGATTGAATCTTCGAGAAAGTCTGTCAGTGTCACAATTCAATTATTTGAGGGTCTTAAGTTTATTTTCCTGTAGTAGTAAAATAACTTTTGAACCAAATACATTCTATTAAAATTAAAATTTAATTTAGGGTTATTCAATTTAAGAAGGAAAGTGAGAAAAATAACTTATCTTAGAAACAAGCATCTTGAGAATTTTCTTTAAGAATATCACATGTGAGCAAATATGGGTGGGTCGCCCTTTGGGTCTTTTGCTCTTCGAGGTGCCTTTCATTTGAATTTCAGTTGAATTGCATGAATCTGAAGTTGTAACAGAAAGCAGGCCAATGTGGTTAACACCTCTCAGCCAAGGGCTGCTATGGAGAGGTCAGCAAGACTCAGAGGCTGGATCTCATCATCGGCCTTACAGGCCAGGTGTGTCCTGACACATGAAGCTTTGGAGGGTTCTAAGCAGTGGAGCAATGAGATCTGATTGTGTTCGTCAAGATCACTCTGGCCGTGGGTGGAGAATGGATTGTGGGGAGGCAGGAGTTGAAGGAGGGCAGCCACTTTGGTGACTATTGTAATAATACAGAGGAAAGTAATGGGACAACTCTCAGGGGAGGTTATCATGGGGATGGAGAAAAGTGGCCAGAGTTGGGATTTATTTTGGAAACAGAACCATGTAGTCTGCTGGCATGTGGATGTGAGTACTGAGGGCAAATAGGTCCATCAAGAATGACTTTGAGTGTTTGGGTCTGAATTTCCGCATAGAAGGTGGAAACAGGTTGGGAGGAGGCAGGTATGAGAAGGTTTTGTTTTCCTGGTGAATTGGAGATGGCTATTTCAGCATCTAAGTGGAGACGCCTGGTGGACAGTTGGATGTGTGAGGCCCTACGAAGAGCCGCTGCAGAAGGAAGGGACGTCACCAGTGGGCAGTGCTGACAGGGAGTCAGGACGGACATTAAGGTAAAATGACTTTGGCAGCTCAGGGTCACCAGTGACCTTGATAAGGACCCAGGTGGAGGATTTTGAGGAGAGAATGTGATGTGAGCGGGTAGAGGTGGCAGGCAGCAGCTGGGAAGATAGGTGAGGTCGAGAGAGGGTTTCTTTAAGGTAAAAGACACAAAAGCCTGTCTGAATATAAAGGGCTGGAATCATTCGGTAAAGCAGGAGAAAGTGACAATACAGAAGAAAGAGGCTGTGTATGACAGGAGCCCAGTCCTTGAGAAGGTAAAATGGGGTCCAGAACAAAAAGGGACCAGACCACCTCCCCACTTGTTGAACAGGAGGGAAGGCAGAGAACAGGTGCAGACACAGGTATGTTTTCAGATTTGGTGGCAGAGAGGTGAGGGAGGGCTTGTTAGCAAAGGCTTTTCAAGCAAATTATTATAGTAAATGGGCAGCTTACATGGGGATGATCGTCGTTTTGCAATTATCCGTAAACTGGCCCATCTCTTTTTTGTGGTGTTGTTCAAGTTATGATGGATAGTGATGGCTGATAAAGTTCTTGTGACCTCGAGCTCACGTGATACAATTATTCCCTTCGCAAGCCAGAACTGTAAAGGGGTTAAATTCATACCAGATCAAAGCAAGAAACAAAAAAACTTCAGTTGTCTTCACAGCAAACCAGCAGGATATTTGCTGCAGAATAATATGAAATCTTTGGAGACAAGGCCAGCAAAATGTGTTAAATTTTAATTTCAAATGAAATCATGCAAACATGTTTTACAAAACATAAATCATAATAGAAAAGAAAAGTACTGGGATTAGCTACAGATAACAAATGCCAGTCGCCTGATGAGAGTTTTTCTCATGAGTACACCCAAAACTTCAGGTAATCTTTGCTCAAGGCTTGACGCCCACTCAGAAGCCCCTCACTAGTTGTCACCATATCTTCGCAGCCAAATTTCGCATAACGGCCAGCACATACATCAATGAAAATAAATAGTCTTAGGTGATTATGCTCAAACATAGATCAGCTGATCACTTACAACACAGGAAAAATAGGCTGGGCACAGTTGCTCATGCCTATAATCTCAGTACTTTGGGAGGCCGAGGCGGGTGGATCACCTGAGGTCAGGACTTCGAGACCACCCTGGCCAACATAGGGAATCCCATCTCTACTAAAACTACAAAAATTAGCTGGGCATGGTGGCAGGTTCCTGTAATCTCAGCTACTCAGGAGGCTGAGGCAGGAGAATACCTTGAACCCAGAAGGCGGAGGTTGCAGTGAGCCAAGATAGCACCACTGCACTCCAGCCTGGTGATAGAGTAAGACTTCATCTCAAAAAAAAAAAAAAGAGGAAAAGTGTTGTGGTTGCTTCCTCCCCGAAAAATCCTTTAGCACAATACCAAGCAAAATCACTGTTGAACTCGATTGTTATTCATTTGTTTGATTTTTCTTCTTAAAATGTGGATACTTTTTAGCTCTTTTAAAATTGTATTTTGCTATTTTTTTC